GTTAAGATAACACAAGCTCTTTTTTTGTTGTATTAAAGTTTTTTGTTGTAATTTCATTTTGAAGTAGGTAATCGTCCGTGATATCACAAATTAGGGAATCACGTTTATTGGCGACGACAATTGGCGACCGTGACAAGACTACCAGAAATGACAAGGGTAGGCGATAGGTTAAATAATTACTGAAGTTCGTGTCTAGTGTATCAATACAGGGAGTGTATAAATACAGTGGGTCTAGTGTATAAACACCAGGTGATATAAACATACATAAATAGCGATGTACTACATCACTAATATCTATTATATTATTAAAGTGATACAATCAAATTTTATGTAAACGGTTAAGGCCATTTACCAAATGAAAATATAGGCATATGGCACATGAAAATGAAGCTTAGAGTGTGTAGATTTGCCGAAAAGTATTGATATGGACGAATTTCCTAAGGGCCCCACAGGCTGATTTTCAAAGGGCTACGCCTGGCACGCTTCTAATGTTTAAATGAATTAATAGATGAGTGAACGAAGTGAACGAATCTATGTATCGTGTATAGCGGAGTCGGAGAAAAGTTGTCCGCTGGAGTATGTGTGTGTGTGTGTGTGTGTGTTCGCACCTAAAACTCAAGAACCGTTGCACTTATAGCGTTCAAATTTTGCACAAATAGTTATGACACCAGTGTAAAGACACCATTAAAATTCTAGACGATTCCGCTCAGTAGTAATTATAAAATACTTAAAAAACATTTTTAAATTTGTCCCATAAGAATAACATTAGGAGCTACCTTCTTCTTCTTTTTATTTGTTTACGTTTTGCGACCAACAATTTTGTTGTCTACTTAAGACAGAGAGAACGACTTTTACTCTAAGCTCTTTCATTCATGGAGTAAACAGTTTGGCGTCTATGAATATATATCATTATAATTTCACAGCTTTCAGAATAATGTTATTTAAGCTAATTAAATCTCACAACTTTCATAATAATAAATTGAACTTAACAATATTAGTCGGCAGTTATATACCGTTTATGTTCAGTATTAAAATTTCGCCTTTTAATTAAAAGTATATAGGTATGTATGTATTTAGAACAAAGCAGATTTTTACATTATTCAATTTAATGTTGGCATTGAATATTAAATATTCAAAAATGTTGGTATATTTTTATAGGTTAGATTAATATGCTATGCGAAGGGGGGGGGGGGAACAGGTCCCCGACGTCTGAGTAGTAAAGAAAGCGGAAAGGTGAGCAGTGAAAAGAAAGGAGTACGGAAACCCTTTATGACTGTTAAATTAACGTATCTGTAATACTTAAATGCTATGGAAAGATAGGGAAACAGGTCTACGATGTAGGAAGTACAGTAGTGAAGGAAATAGTGAAGGAAGTAGTCAAGGCGAGCGCTGCGGAGTGTGGGGGGCCTTTATGACAGTTAGAATAATGTATCTGCAATTCTAAAAATGCTATGGGAAGGGAGAGAAACAGGTCCACGATGTAGGAAGTGGTGAAGGAAGTAGTCAAAGTGAGCAGTCCGGAGTGTGGGAAGCCTTTGTGGCAGTTAGATTAATGTATCTACCATAATAAAATTCTATAGGAAGGGAGGAAAACAGGTCCACGACGTAAGAAGCGGTAAAGGAAGTAGTCAAGGCGAGCAGTCCGGAGTGTAGAAACCCTTTGTGGCAGTTAGATTAATATAACTGCAATTCTAAATTCCAATAGGAAGGGAAGGAAACAGGTCCACGACGTCGGAAGCGGTGATGGAAGTAGTGAAGGCGAGCAGTCCGGAGTGTAGAAACCCTTTGTGATAGTTAGATTAATATACCTGCAATACTAAAATGCTATAGGAAGGGAGGGAAACAGGTCCACGACGTAGGAAGTGGTGAAGGAAGTAGTCAATGTGAGCAGTCCGGAGTGTCGGAAGCCTTTGTGACAATTAGAATAATGTATCTGCAATTCTAAAAATGCTATGGGAAGGGAGGGAAACAGGTTCACGACACTTAGGAAGTAGTGAAGGAAGTAGTCAAGGCGAGCATTCCGGAGTGTGGGAACCCTTTGTGGCAGTTAGATTAATGTGTCTGCCATAATGAAATGCTATAGGAAGGGAGGGAAACAGGTCCACGACGTAGGAAGCGGTAAAGGAAGTAGTCAAGGCGAGCAGTCCGGAGTGTAGAAACCCTTTGTGACAGTTAGATTAATATACCTGCAATACTAAAATGCTATTGGAAGGGAGGGAAACAGGTCCACGACGTAGGAAGTGGTAATGGAAGTAGTCGAGGCGAGCATTCTGGATTGTAAAAACCCTTTGTGATAGTTAGATTAATGTAACTGCAATTCTAAAATGCTATGGGAAGGGAAGGAAACAGGTCCACGACGTAGGAAGCGGTGATGGAAGTAGTCAAGGCGAGCAGTCCGGAGTGTAGAAACCCTTTGTGACAGTTAGATTAATATACCTGCAATACTAAAATGCTATAGGAAGGGAGGGAAACAGGTCCACGACGTAGGAAGCGGTGAAGGATGTAGTCAAGGTGAGCAGTCCGGAGTGTGGGAACCCTTTGTGAAAGTTAAATTAATCTATTTGAAATTCTAAAATGCTGTAGGAAGGGAGGGAAATAGGTCCACGACGTAGGAAGTGGTGAAGGATGTAGTCAAGGTGAACAGTCCGGAGTGTGGGAACCCTTTGTGAAAGTTAAATTAATCTATTTGAAATTCTAAAATGCTATAGGAAGGGAGGGAAACAGGTCTACGACGTAGGAAGTGGTGAAGGAAATAGTTGAGGCGAGCATTCCGGAGTGTAGAAACCCTTTGTGATAATTAGAATAATGTAACTGCAGTTCTAAAAATGCTATGGGAAGGGAGGGAAACAGGTCCACGACGTAGGAAGTGGTGAAGGGAGTAGTCGAGGCGAGGAGTCCGGAGTGTGGGAACCCTTTGTGACAGTTAGATTAATGTATCTGCAATAATAAAATGCTGTGAAAAGAGAGGGAAACAGGTCCACGACGTAGAAGTGGTAAAGGAAGTAGTCAAGGTGAACAGTCCGGAGTGTGGGAACCCTTTGTGAAAGTTAAATTAATCTATTTGAAATTCTAAAATGCTATAGGAAGGGAGGGAAACAGGTCTACGACGTAGGAAGTGGTGAAGGAAATAGTTGAGGCGAGCATTCCGGAGTGTAGAAACCCTTTGTGATAATTAGAATAATGTATCTGCAATTCTAAAAATGCTATGGGAAGGGAGGGAAACAGGTCCACGACGTAGGAAGTGGTGAAGGGAGTAGTCGAGGCGAGGAGTCCGGAGTGTGGGAACCCTTTGTGACAGTTAGATTAATGTATCTGCAATAATAAAATGCTGTGAAAAGAGAGGGAAACAGGTCCACGACGTAGAAGTGGTAAAGGAAGTAGTCAAGGTGAACAGTCCAGAGTATGGGAACTCTTTGTGACAGTTAGATTAACGTATCTGCAATAATAAAATGCTATGAGAAGAGAGGGAAACAGGAAATACGTTACGTATATTACCAATGACTTTGGTTAATTAATGGACGAGGAGTAAGATTGTTGTTGACTGAGATTTGGTTTTTTTAAGAGGTTGGTCCAGCCTCTTTTAACCTCGCCCATGCGTGGATCGTTTACAGCAAAGCAATTGGTGAGCCGGTACAGTACAAAGGTGAACTGTACTGATAAAATTTAGTGGCAGTGACCAGGATCCGAACTCACGACATCGCTGCCTTGGGCCCGAAGTTCGCGTGACGCTACCGACTTGAGTTACCGACTCACCATTATTTGCCCCGACTCATGGGTCGATTTGCCCATACAAATAACATTATTGTGTACACCAGTGACACCGGTAAGTGTGCTAGGTGTGGGTAAACTCTTTCATTATTGCGCTCATGTTCACTCATCCTGTTACGTGCAGAATAAGCGTACTACTAGTTTAATTAAGTTAATGAAACAGCTGGTCAGTACAATGAACTGGTGTTTGTTTATTTACTCGAATAAGATGTTTGTGACTTTTTATGTAGATTGAGGAAGGTTATGTTTGGTTTTAAAGTGAGGTTGTATACGTTTTGTAAAGTATTGCTCAAAGTTTCATTTTTTAATTTATATAGTTAGCTACATGTGAAGAGGCTTGAATAAAATTGAAGAAAATGGTAAAACATGTTATTCATAAAGCATCAATATGAAGCAATAATTGATGCTATTGCGTCATATTCTTAGGGATCTATTAACATCAAAAGTAGGGGTTTGAAAGTAAGTAGAGTTACGCTTTTGAAATCAGTTTATATTTTCAAACTAAATCATCGAGTTGCTGTATTTTAAAACACACATCAGCACCACTTTAATAGCTCTCTAGGTCACTTTTTCTTCCCGTTGCAAAGCACGGTTATAGCAGCTTGTCTTTTACATATTCCATAGTGTGGTATTGACTGTCACCATTGTCTTTTGGATACTATTTAATAGTAGCCCATATAGTATCCCATTTAAGTGGACGTAGCTATTTCTATTTTTTTCATAACATCTCAATGAGTCTCTCACAGTGTGAGTAATATACAATCATAATTTGTGACCTAAAATATGGATAATACATAATAGTGGTAGAGTGCATGACATCGGTCCCCGAGGTCCTAGGTTCAAATCTCGCCAATCACCGATGAGTTTTAGCTGTAGGCCATGATAATACTATTCTCTAGGCCTAGCCTGGTTAACGTGTTAAGTATATACATGGTGGGACCTGTTGTCCATGGGTTTATGTAAAAAGTACCTTAAAGAAGTGAGGTTACATAGGATATGAAGTTAAACCGGTATTGATTACTGAGAGTGACTACTAGTTCTATGCCTGACTTCGTTTACAATACACAGTGTAAAATACAAGTGGCTAAACAAATCTGTTCATGGAGGTTAAAATGTTGCACATCAAACAACTTTATGAAATATTAATTCGAAACTCACAATGCTATTGTTTTTAACTAGCTGTGTTGTTGTTGCTGTTGTTGTTTAACCAGCTGTGTTGTTGCCTGTTACAGTGGAAGACGAGATGGTGTGTGATGCGGAAACTGTCACCCGTAGCAGGTAAATTAATTGTTTACTTACACTTTTATCTTAATTTAAACTTTGTTTTTGTAATAGCAATATGTAACAATATCGTTAGTAAACTGATTACTCAATGGGGTCGTAATCGTTTTCTATTGCAGCTTTAGATTGTGTAAAATACGCTTGATATTATTTGCACGGACTACGTTACGATACGATTATAGTGTTAAATGTTTATCAAATTATGTTACCTCTTAGTAAAAAAATTTTGAGAGAAAATTATTCCGAAGTTATAAGTTGAATAATAATAGATTCACGTCATTTTAAGTATAAAATTAGCATATCCTTCAATGTAATTTATACAATTTTTTTTAATTTAAATATAGCTTTGTATTGTTTATTTATGTATTTGTAATGTATTATTTATGTTGTAAAATTATCTTTATCACGTGTTATCATGTCATATCATAACAGTAATATTTTATTACTTAATGTTTGTATAAAAATTAGTTCTAGTTTACTTAATGTTTGAAATAAATTAGTTTATAGACACTGAATATTTAATAATTAGTCAATGATAATAATCAAATTTAAAATATAAAAAATTTAGTGATGGTTAAGTAGTTTTTTGTATTCATTCCACTCATAGGACGTAGTTCCAACCCACTTAAAAAGTAATTGTTTTCTCCTAATTAGGTTGTTGGGTTTGATCTACATTTAAGCATTAAATTTGTTGTAGTGTGAAAACACTTCTTATTGACATTAAAGACTATTTATACGCTTACAAATCATATTTGGAAGTTTCTAATAACTTTTTTCGGAATATTTTAACACAATTATAGATTAAAAATGAACATGGGATGGGTGAAACGCCTTAAAATTAAGCCATAATTAAAAAGTAAATACATATTTAAAAACAGTTAAACGCAATACGAATGTCTTTGAGTTACAAGTCTCATTATTGCACAACCAGGGCGCGACCACTCGCTTCTCAACAATGAGTCAGCTGACTGTGCGATTATCGTCCGTCCTCTTCAGCGAACTGATTAATAATTAATTACCATATAATAACTGTCATCACGGGTTCCCTGTAACTCATTGATATTTAAATTTACTCTACTAAAGTTAACAGCTTGTTACCGAGAAAAAGTATAATTTATTAGCAATAGAGGTTTGAAAACACATTCTCTGAATAGTAAATGAAGATGTTCTTGTACATTTTAAGGACATTTGTAGGTAGCGAAACGTTGTGGTATCGTAGTAGAACTTTATTTTGAAGATTTTCAGGAAACAAACATCCGGTTAACTGTATACAACTATATCTAAAGTAGAAGTCGGCTGGAAAATGTAGGAGTTTGAGTCGATAAATGTACCAAGGTATAAATTAAATACAGGATTTGATCATAAGTGTTCCAGCATATCATATGTCAAATTACATAGTAATAGTTATTGAATGATGCCCAACGCTAAAGGTAAGAGAATACAATAATACATAAACATTTTGCTGTTGTATGAAATTCTACTTAGTACTATTCGTGAAAGTTAATACTTTAAACTAAATCAAAGAATATAACATTTTTAGCTTAATTCTTTGGTTGGAGAGTTTTACGACTAATAAATATTCAATTGTCCTTATTAAATTAGCTTTACTTTTACATAAACAAAAAACAAACCTGTAACTACTTTCAAATTTGATGATAAAATTCATGTATATAGTGATAAAACTTGGTGATACTAAAAGCAGTAATTACGAAAAATAGTGGAATTTAAAATAAAACATAATTATTTGTCTACTCACTTTTACCATGTAGTTTGACCAATAATTTTCTTTAACAATCATGACCGGACACCCTGTAAATTTACCATGTTTAGAAAAGCGGATAATAAAACACCATCCTCGCTGAGAAATTGTATTGTCAATTGAATGACACAATTATAGTTGCATAACGTAGAACAGCTGATCATTCAAATACAAAACCAAACAAACCATTGTTGACCTACTTACTGACGTCATACCTGTTGTGTTACAAAGCTGTACAACTAAGGTCAAAGAACTCAGCTGTCGTATGGTCTTGCCAAGGAACTTGATGAACGTAACTAATCGAAACAATTTAAACCAGCTTTTTAAAGTTATAATTACGCAAAACTTTAAATATGTGTTTCAAAATAGTATTTTCTTCTATTCCAAACAAAAAACACAGATTTGAAACTACTTTTCTGATCTTCGGTAATATCTGGTATAAAAATAGACCTGAGCTGGCCAACGTTTAAATGGAAATTAAAATCTAAGAACTTAGTGGTTGGTTTACTCCTATATATCGTGCTAAAAGTTAGTTAGGGATTTTTTCAGACCTACAATGTATTATTTGGTTACACGCACAGTTGTACTTTTATACATAACATTGTCTATAAAAATACTTTTATGATATGTATATCTTCGTTTAACCTTCTGTTCTAAACACTCGATTGAAAAAAAAAACTTAAAGAGCTAAGATTGGTATTTTAAAGCATTATAGCATATTTTGAACAGTTTTAGCCGCCAACACAATAAATAAATAAATAAAAATGCCTTCATTTACAAGCGTCTCTCACTACAAATATAACTGTTTTACAGAGTAACTCAGGTCAAATACTAACTAAAAATACAATACTATTATAATAAAAGACATCGTGTGATAAAAAATAAAAATATTAAATATATATACTATTTTACGATATTGATACATTTTTTTTAGTTTCTTTTAAAAGCCAAGACCCCAGCTGTTTTAGGTCCAAGGGGAGATCATTGTAGATCTGGGCCAAAGTAGGAAAACCCAATGAATTTAATACAATTAGGTAATATCCAGATATAAATTTAAGAGTAACATTGACTAGAACAATATCTTGCTGTAACGGACATAACATTACCAAAGAACAATGCATATTTTGGGTTTGAAGAAGGGGCGAATCATAAGAAACATCCCCTCTTGATGACAGGCAATTTTCCTTTATTTCGCCCGTTAGTCTTATAACAGGGGGAAGGCTGTGTAAAGCGTAGAGGCGCCATTGGCAACGTTTTGACTGCTAATGTATTAAACCTGTGACTTGGAGGGCGAGCGATGGAAACCCATATGGACGATATGAGCTATGGGAATCTGTAAATGTTTCACAAGGGCTGTAGGCTATACTCAGTGCCAAATGTGCAACCGTCAATTAATATGAAGCCGAAGTTTACGATTTTACTTAATCTTTAAAAAGTTAAAAAATTATCTTAGATTATTATTATTCAAGATTTAGATGGGGACGCCCCTCTAGATGCGTATTAGACCCAAATACACGTGACATATGTTTAAAATGGAATGTTAAAATGGAAAGAGATACTACCATGGAGCTGCTATTAACTTACTACCGATATGTAACCAAATCCAGTTAAGGTTGTTGTCAGGCTCAAAATCAAAACACAATGATGTTTTATTTATCCGCAGTTGTAAGATACGGAGTTTTTAGTTTAAAACTAGCTGTTTGCCCGTTCTACGTACAGGAATCTTGTAGTAAGTTAAAACCTTATATTCAGAACAGGAGTTGGTTTGCATATTTAGTGTGAATTTTTCCAGATTTGATGGCAAAACTATAATTGTTTAGGAATACATATAAACCTTCTCAAATACAATATCTGACAGTTTCAAAGCCAAAACGAATGCTTCGCAATTAAATGTCACCCGATCGTGTTAGTCCATATTTTATATCTAACGATAAAAGGAATTGCTTTACAGTATAGATCTATGAGGCATAGCCCTAAGGTAGGCCTGTAATTATAAGTTACTTTTCACACTGGTTAAAAGTAGTTAAAACACTACCTCAACCTCACTACTACATACTTTTTGCGGGTTGAAATTTTTATTAACAATGGTGCTCTTGTCCTTTCCACGAAAAATAAGGACATTAATGCGTAACCAATAGTCATACACACACAAATACAGAATTGAGTCTACAAAAAATTTTGGAGTCCAGACAGAAAACGCTAAAAATTATACAGTAAGACATCAATTAAATTTAATAAGCAATAAGGCGCAGTGTTTATAAATAAATATTGAAAATAGTGATGTGTTTGTATGTAAAAATGATTCTTACTGCTACCACCGGTTCTAAAGAAAAGTAGCAGTATCAAAAACCAATACATTTGAGAAAAGATGTTAACATATTAATGACGGTTTGAAGAAACCACCTTTATGTAAACAAAGGTTTCTTATTTAAAAGATTACGTAATCTCTAAACGATAATCGGTACATATATCTAGCAAACATTCGGAGGAAATGTGACAAAAAACGCACAAATCTGGGGTTTTGTACGTTTGTAGTTTTATTTCCTAAGTAGGAAAAGTACCGATATCGTTGTCGAAATGTAAGTAAGTAGAAACCAAAAGTGACACATTGGATAAGCGAGTTTAGCTACCCCGCTGTTACGGTACGATCACGGTGAAGATCGCAGCAACATCCACGATCACCCACTGCAGTTGTGATTTTTTACTTTGCATTTAACACAACTGTAACACAACTGCCCTTGAAGCGTCGTCAATGAGTGGAAACCTTTGTAAGCTACGGTATTGGTGACGATGATTAAAAAAATGTAAGTTTCCTTGCACTAATACAACACTGATTCACGGTATTTTCCCCTGTTATCAAAACTCAAGAACAATCGTTGCACTTGCGATTAATTAAACCGGTTAAGTAAGGCACAACGTTTTTAATCTCACTTGGTTTGGATGTGCTGACAAAACTTGATCGGAAATGGTTGCGGTATTTGTAAACAACTTTGAATGTAAACATATCAGTGACAGCTAGAAGTGAGAACTAATCCAAACAGCTGATCGTTATTTCATAAAATGTAATAGTAAACATTGGGAGAAATTTTGACAAAAATCGAACAAAATTGGGTTTTTGGTGGTTGGTTATTTTGTTTTCAAAGAAGCGAGGCCATGTATTTATAGCCAAAGACACTCTCACCAATTCATTAAATACAGAAAAATGATTAGAACCTTGATCGGTACTCCCGTTTTCTAG